TACGCGTGCTCGAAGCACGGCGTGCTGGGGCTGACGAGGAACCTGGCGGTGGAGCTGGGGCAGTTCGGGATCAGGGTGAACTGCGTGTCGCCGTACGCGCTGGCGACGCCGCTGTCGACGAAGTTCCTAGGGCTCGACGACGAAGGGCTGGAGCAGGCGATGAATTCGATGGCGAATCTGAAAGGGGTGACGCTGAAGGCTGATGACGTGGCGAACGCCGCGCTTTATCTGGCGAGTGACGAGGCGAGGTACGTGAGCGGGCAGAATTTGTTCATCGATGGCGGATTCGGCATTGTTAATTCCGCCATGAAAATTTTCAACTATCCTACAGACTCTTCTTCTTGATATATTATATTATATTCCCAATTATCGTTGTGTTCAACTTTTTAGTTTTTACTGCCTTGGATTTTTATTAACGGTGAGGAGAAATATTAATTAAACCTTCATTATTTCACAAGTAAACATTAACTTTAAATTTTAGTTTTTTTTTATTTTATTTTATTATTATAAGGAAATAAGATATACAACATTAATACTATACTTGGTGAGAGAGAGAACCGGAGTGAACCGAGCGGTCAAACCGCGAACCGCCACGTTAATGGTGTGGTTCACATTGAAAACCGAATTTACTAGGGAAAAATTACGGTTCAATCAAAAACCCAGATAAAACAGGAAACCGGCCTAGAACCCCACATTTTCGTCCGAAATGGTGAGTTCGTGGTCGTGGAAAGTTGGAACGGTCCAACCGTGACCCAACTACCTGTTCGATTTTGTGTCTGGTCCGATTTTAAAAACATGTATGAGTTTATGTTCAATTTCAAGTGAAACCATATTTTACTAATGAATTGTCTACTCTTTTTCTGTTCTAAAGAAACTAGAGGGAATTGGATAATTGGATCACTTCTGAAATTTAAAGTAGCAATTAGCTAGTATCTCTTTGCATTTTCTTATTCCTTATATATGCACAATCAACTTGGGCCATATAAAAATATGCAAATTTAAAATGAAACTTGATTTCAAAATAAAATTTCGAACCAACTTTTATAACATATACAGGCCTATAATATAATGGACTCAAAACACATAAGCCCACGCACCATGGGGCTGTGTTCTATTCATCTCATCAAATTATAACTAGATCTCTTTCTCTTAATTTGTAACATCCTCATTCCACAACCGCTATAGACGCAATTGTGTGTCAACGTATAAGTAGGTTTCCCGTTACTACTTCAGACGAATAACATTCATGGACATCTGGGTGAATTTGTATAAAATAGAGAACATTTTACGGAATTTAGAAGATTATGTCGAATTCGACAATGTAAGGATGGATATATGTGTAAGAATACTTATAGTTATGGTGTTTGTAATTACCCAAACATAAGAGTTTTATTCGTAATTTAACCTTACCTCAGGGGGTGCTGTAATTTTCCCTATAACTTATGATGTAACACTATTTCAACTTTCTTAATTAGATTGACGACACATAAGTGAAAACGCTATTTTAAACGACGTGTTTTCTAATGTGAAAAGAAAATCCACTTAAATCTCACCATTTTAACATGCGAGCCAAATGTGAAAAAAATCTTTTAACATATTTTTAATGATTTTTCAGTCATCTTGTAATTACACTAAAATATTAATAACATCGTTTAAATAATAACTTATTTTGGTCTCAACTGAGTATAAACTTACTAAATTATATTTCGTAAATTTAATAAAATTTTGTTAATTCCGACTGTATTAATATATAGAAGTTTAAGTAATGTATTAATTACATTTTCAAATTTGGAAATGAAATAATAAAGCATTAAATAATTCTCGACTAACGTAAAGTAAATGCAGTCGAAAATAGAGGTACAACTATCATAATTGCCTCAGCAATTTGCCCTGTCTTGCAGGTCTTGTGAAAGTTGCCAACTTTCATAACTAAATAATAGTTAACGATCGTAGATAATTATTCACCACTACAAAACTTAATATGCACCGGCGCTTGTTTATACTGCAAATAAAGCATCATCATATTACATATATAATGTTATATTGTTTGGGTAAATTGGGATGTTTTGTGGCTGTAATAAGTTCCTCAAATTACCAAGAAATAATTGGATTTTTTTTTTCTCTTTTTATTTTATTTTTTTAATAAAAAATAAAGTTCAGATTTTAATAAAAAAAATGAGTTTATGCTTTGTTTTACTTTCTTAATGTTAATTTTTATTTTTAATGGACCTAGTGATATGTATACTTATAATGTTCAAGCATAATTTTAGTTGCAAAAGATTTTGTTTTATTTTATTTTGTATGGATTTTTATTATATTATGATCTTATTGTTATTAAAATTTTGTTATGTGATTATGAAATATAATTAATGTGGCGATATAATCATGTTTAAATACTTCTTTATGTATGTTTTGAGTATTTACTAATAGTATCTAAAATTATATTACATTAAATTTAGAAAAGCCGATTTATCGCTGATTAAACACAGCCATATCGATTAAACGCGGGCGGTGCCTAACCGACTGAATAACTGATTCGGTAAAAATTTACTATCTCGGCCCATTGAAAGAAGGCCCAATAGTGGCCCAATTATTGGGAAGCCTACGAGAATCCACTCCAAGGCGAGAGGAAGGGGAATTCACGCTCGCCCAAAAAGAGGGCGAGAGCAAGGAGTATTATCTAAAAAGAAGAGCAACACCGCCGACGTAATTTAATGCGTGTCTTCTCAAGTGTCAGGAATAGCAGAGAATATACAGACTGGGTGATTCGGTAAATCATTATTCTGGGCCTATCTAGGAAACCTAATTGAGAGTCGATCTCGGGGACGAGAGGTGAGTTGCTCTCTCAGTAGCGAGAGGGCAAAGGGGAGATTTGCAAGATATGGTCTAGGATATCTGAGACAATCGTCCTACATTTAATGCCCCTCTCCTCAAATGTCAAAAGATGTCAGAGAATATGCAGTCTAGGGAATAAGCAGCTCACAACACTATTCATAAACTGTTCATCAAGGGGACAGGTAAGTTTAATTTAATAGTCATTAGAAGTGACATCTAAAAGAGGAGTGGAGTCCGTGTTTGGAATCCGTTCTCAAGAGCTCTTCCTATAAATAGTAAGGATTAATTCAACTGAGGATTATCCTGTTTTTTATATAATTAAAAAACATATAACCTATTCTTCAAAATCTCTTAAAACCAGAAATATACTGACTTGACTGTCGGAGTGCTAACTCCGGCCTCAGTCCGGTTTTCCTTGTCTGTGTTCTTATTTGCAGAATCCAGAAGATCCACCAACATATTCGGATCCGGGAGATCCATCAGCTTATTTGGTTGAATCAATAACGATTCTCTCCTTTTACAACCTTGGTTATTTGCGGAGAGGGGTATATCACATTATTGATGCTCTTATTTCCTTATGTCATGTTATTCATTGAATGGATGGCATCCAATTTTCTTGTTTAAACATATTGCTCGTTCTACTTGTCAAAAAATAATAAATAAATAAAACCAAACATAATTTAAATAATGAATATGGCCTTAATTTACCTACCGTTGACATAAGCCTCGACAGTTAGGGGCCGACTTTATTTATTTTGTTAATTCTCTATATATTAATAGAGAACTTACAAAATATCCCAATGTTTATATATTTTGTTCTTCTTTCTTCTTCCCATTTCTTCACACACATACCAGTGTATTCATGGCAAACTTCGTTTCTTCAATCCCTAAACGGTAATTAATTTTAAATATTTTACATGCTTCTTTTAGTTTATTGAATTAATTAATTTCAGTAGCCTTCTCTTTGATTTGCATACAATACGTTAAACCTCTATAATTAATACATTATGTTCTTCAATTCCAAAATGGTAATCAAGTTTAAATATTTTACATGCTTCTTTTAATTTATTTAATTAATTAATCTCAGTTGTCTTCTCTTTAATTTGTATATAGTTAAACCTTTTATAAATTAATACATTCGGGACTATAGCAAAATTCTATTAATCTAATGAAATGTTAATTTATTGAACTAATAATTTAGTATGTTTTACCGAGTCAGGACCGAAAGAAATTATTATTTAAGCGAAATAATTAATTTATTCGATCTCGTTCCCATAATATTTTCTGGACTCCAAAAAAAAAAGAAGATTAGTAATAATAATAATATTTTCTGGCTAGGTTGGAGGGGAAGGTGGCAATCGTGACAGGCGGAGCTAGCGGCATAGGCGCCAGCACGGCGGCGCTCTTCCACCTGCATGGTGCAAGAGTCGTCATCGCCGACATCCAAGATGACCTAGGCCGAGCCCTGGCCCACAAACTAGGAAACGACGCCATCTACACCCACTGTGACGTCACAGACGAGGATCAAATCACCCACCTGGTCGACTCGGCCGTGGCCGAACTCGGCCACCTGGACATCATGTACAGCAACGCCGGCGTAATCAACGGCGACGATTTCCAGAGCATCCTGGACGCCGACAAGGAAAAAATCGAGCGGATCCTCCGTGTCAACCTGGTCGGCGGCTTGCTGGTGGCCAAACACGCCGCCAGGGTGATGGTGCCGAACAGAAAGGGATGCATACTCTTCACGGCGAGCGCGTGCACGGAGGTCGCCGGGATCGCGCCGTACTCGTACACGGCGTCGAAGTTCGGGATAGTGGGGCTGACGAAGGGGCTGGCGGTGGAGATGGGGTTGCATGGGATTAGGGTGAACTGTGTGTCGCCGTTCGGCGTGCTGACCGGTTCCGCCGCGCACGACGGAAAGACGGCGGACATGTTTGAGAAGATGATGGGACACGTGGGGAATCTGAAGGGGAAGATTCTCACGGCGGAGGATGTGGCCAAGGCGGCGCTGTATTTGGCCAGTGACGAGGCGGCGTACGTTAGCGGGGTGAACTTTGTTGTGGACGGAGGGTATAGTGTGGTTAATCCCACTCTTTCCAATGTACGTAATGCACCTCGTTAATTAATTAATTAAATTGTGTTGTTAATTAATCACATTTGTGATCTGCTCCTATTGGATATTTGGATGTACTATAAGAAATAATACGAACTTTAAATAAAAATTCGGTCTTGGTTAATATATATCTTGATAAATTTAACATATACTCCCTCCGTTGCTAAATAATACTCTTGATAAAAATTCGGTCTTGGTTAATATATAATTGCAACTTTTCACTTTTCATAAAGATTAAGAAACTCAATAAATATATCTTGATTTTAGAAAAATCATATAAAAATAACTAAAACAACCTTTATTGTTTAATGATTTGTAAGAGAAAATTAATATAGAGTTTCATTAATAAGGTTAAAACTGGAAAAATACAATTAATGCAGTTTTGGAATTCTGAAGTGGCAGATAATATGAAACAAAAATATTTTTAAAAATAGACAGTTATTATGGAACATATGAAGTATATTCTAACAAAATATAATTATTATCTTCATTTTGATTTTTATTATACTTTTTCGAAAAACCTACACAAGCGTGTTTGGTACGTGCTATAATTCATAAATTAGTCGAATAAGTTAGTTGGATTAATGAGTTAGATTTAATAGGATTGATGACGCAGAACGGAGCACGGTAAATAATTAATTACGACGAATTAATTCGAAATAACTCAAAAGCTTTGGATTCCACCAGAAAATTGAGAGAAATTTTAGAAGTTTTATTGATAATAAACGATGCTGAAAAATAAACCCTATAACAACTATTTACACTAATCAAAGCTGAAAAATCCTAATTAAACTAGGGAAACGGAATATTACAAAGAAAAAAAGCAAAAACGAAATAACGCCTAAATCTAATAGAATACTGCAAATTGGACCAATTCTCGGATTTCAGATCCGAATTTTCTATAAATTATTGAAAACTTTCCTAAAACAACAAAAACGTCGTTTTGAGGGTGCTACAATTCCGCCTTCATCGGAAAAGCTTGCCCCCCGCACAATTCCGCCTCCGTCGCCTCTTCATCAATTGATTAATCACTTGCTTAAGAAGAAGTTATGTTAGTAATTGCTTTAATTTCCATGTTTAATTGCACGTTCATAATGTTGGTAATGGAGTACTTCATAGGGTGTGCTACTATTTGTAACTCATTATAAATTGAGTAAATGGACGAGATAAGGGGATGATAAGAAATTTCCAACAAATTAAAATTAAATTTATTCTTCTATATTTGTTGTAACATGGTTCTTAATATCTGCATTAACACATTTATATCCACTATATATGAATGCACAATGCACGTGATAGGCACATGGGAATATAAGTTGTCGTTTGCCGGCTCATAAAGCATACACACCTCAGCATTCAGTGATATATGGTTATTCATGAGCTGATTTCATTGGTGGAACCTTCTAGAGTTACGTTGCTTCGCGAGGAAGTTCACTATTTATCGATAGTGACTTCAGTGCAAGAAAGAGCGTCAATCGTCGGAAATATATACTTGAGTGCAGAGTGATCAAACACCATTTTGTGAGGGGTTTAGGGTTTCTTGCCGAATTGAGCCGACTTTCTTAGCTCAGATTTATCATCTATGTAACTGGATAATCACTCAAACTAAAGCTCCTAAATCATGACAATATTCTTTTTTTTTTTTTTATCTTTTTTTTTTTTTATTTGATCATTTTTTTCCTTATTATTTTTATTAAATATCATAATTTGTATTGTTTTGTTCAGAAATATATGAAAGTACACATTACACATTTCACTTTTGAGAAATATGTTATTCCGATTCGATCCGTCTCTGATTTCTGCCCTAAAACACTCATTTTGTACCCTATAAATATGGGGTATTCTTTTTATTCGTAGGATCATAAAGAAATGTAAATAAAACACATAAATCAACTACTACATAAATTTAACACTATTCTATTTTAGTGTTGAACAAAAAATTGAAAGTGGATTTCTTTTAGAGTTCGGGTGACGTAAATTTGTACGCGGTCAAAGTTTCCGTCAATAACTATATCTTTTAGACCACTACTGAAGATCTTTGAGGAAGATCAGATGCCTCCGTCGGAATTAAGGTTTGAAAGATAATTGCTGGAAGAAGACATGTAATTTGGTGTTATTTGTATATATGTTGGATGGATGCATTGGAGCCGCATGCATCCAATATATATATATATATATATATATATATATATATATATATATATAATAATATAAACCAAACGGGACCCTAGGGTTTTAGAGCCGATCTTGAGTGGGATTCTCGTTCCTTATTTGTAAGGCGTGCTCCGCAAGTCTAGGGATTCCGTAGATTCCTAACTAAGCTATATCTAAGGTTCCCCGACCTGAGTGGGCTTAACATTTGGTCCGAGCTTAGGCCCACATCCATGAGTCAAATGCTCGACCCATATGTTCGAGGCCATTGCGTTGGACCGACCCACATTAAGTTCTTAAAGAAGAAAGAATAGGTATTGTGAGTTGAGAGAGCTGCGAGTGTGACCTTTATTTTTATTTTCTCGTAAAACTGGTTGTTCTTAATCCTAGGCCAAAATGGTCGACTGGCGACGAAATTTGGCGACGAAAATGTATATTTGGCGACGATTTTTACTGTTGGCGATGAATTTTTTTCGTCGCCAAATCCTACACAAAACGTCGCCAAACGCCCCGTCGCAAGGTTTGCGACGAAAAGTCATTTGCGACGCAAAGCTTGGCGACGAATTTCATAACTCGTCGCAACATTCGTACTTTCTGGAAAAAATGTTTTTTTAATATTCGCGACGGATCCTATACTTCCGTCGCTTACCAGTTGCGACGAACAAATAATAAGTCGCAACCCTTTGCGACGAATTACGTTTTCGTCGCTATATTAAGCGACGTTTTGTGAAGGTTTCATCGCTACGTTTGCGAAAAATGTTTGCGACTGATAGCCGTTTTCGTCGCACGGCCCACGATTTATTTGCGACGATTTGTTTTATTTATTCGTCGCTAGGTTTTTTTTTTTTTAATATAATTTCTGGTTTATTTATTTTTCCAATTAAGAAATTCAACCTGTATTTTGCAGTTGTACAAAAAAAAATACACTTATATCGAAAATATTAAAACCAATTATACGGATTAAGATCGTGTCAAGGTAGCACAAAACAGAAATTAAAAAAGTACATAAAAACTTAAAAGCATATAATGTAGTGTTTCAAACTTTAATTCAAAAACCAAACAAAATCCATCCCTTTTTATACTCCACCATCATTGGAAGGAGTCGATGTCGATGTCGTAGTCCAAAACGGCGGACCAAGGTGTTCACAAATTCTCGGGTTTCTTTCAATTCCGCTTCCAATCTTTCCATTTTTTCATCTTTAAGTTGCATTAATTGCTCTTTCATTGAATTCATTTCCATTTGCACTTCCGGCGGAATTGAAGAAAATCTCGACTTTTAACTCTTTGTGGTGGTTGCAATCTTAATTCCAAGCCCTTTGCTTTTTCCAAGCACTTTTTCTATCGCAATTGAGTTGGCCGTGCTTTCGTCACTTCCATCACGAATTGTCTCATCGTACACTCGTTCCAAATCAGCCTGAAAATGATTAAGTACAATTGTTTAGCAAAAATTTCGACAGCATAACAACTAATAAATGAACATCCCTAAAAAAACCATCCATGTATACAACAACTTAACATTATTTAAAACAAATATTCATATCCACATATCTCAACTACGTACTAATTTAACATATCAAATAATTTACATATGATAAACATGCGACAACAATAAACATAAATAATTAACATACAACCAATTGAAGAATAAAATTGCATTACACTTACCGAAATGCGAAGTTGTTCAGGAGTTGCTATCCCATTATACGGTTCTTCTGTATCTCCTTGCTCACTAATAGTTGGCCCGGTTTCCCTCAGTACATCAATGCCCATATATGCTTTCTTATACGTATCAAACACCGTAGGGCCCAATTTTTTAAACTATATTAAAATATTATAAAGTAAGTATCTATTTTAAACTTAAATAAATTAAAATTATAGATCAAATTACTTACATGATTGTGGGACCAACTATTGATACTTGTTCGACCCCAATGGTGGTCTGTCGGGACTTTCTTTCGCGAGTCCTTGCATTTGGTTGATTTGGACTGTGAACAATAACACAAAAAATTAAAACTCTTTAATATATTTAAACATGATCCATAAATTAAATATATATAATTTACCTTCCCATCAACACCAGGAGTGGAAATAGAATGAAATTGATCACATAGTTTCTCCCAAGTTTGAACACTAATCCTATTTGGACAATTTGCCTTAGCCGTGGCAAGGTCTGGAGCTCTATCAAAGACTGCCTTCAATCGTTTAGTTTTCGCATCTTTCCAACGATCGTTAGCTGTCTCATTGAACCATTTTTTTGTAGCCTCATTTTCAGGAAGTTTCCAAGTTTCCTAAATAAAATATAAAAAATATACAATTGAAATGAAACAAAAAATTAAATAACTTAAATAAAATAAAAATTACATACAAATACCTTAAACGCTTTCCACAATCCCTCGACATGGCCCATGTTTTTGTGGTTAGGCCAAGAAATACATGGATCAAAATTATCCCAATGCGTATCCTCGTTACTAATAGCCACCGCCAACTTGTACCTCCCAGGTGCAACGGGAATACCCTTGTCGTCAAACTCCAAATCAACCACATCAGTACCTGTAGACTCGGTACCTATATGATCAACAGAAATATCTTCCTCCGACATCGCTCGCCTGAGAAAAGAAATAAGATATACATAGACAAAAATAAAATAAACACAATACTTATGACATGCATGATATATGACAATAAATATGACATAATTTATATAACAAGTAAATTATAATAAAAAAATAAAATGATCACATAAACAAAAGTATATTACAAGTAAATTACAATCAACTAACATTTGATCAACAAAATAATCCCTCACTCTTCCATATCATCTATAACATTTATGTCATGGTTTATAGGAAGTATCTCATAGCATTCATCTTCAACTGAAGTAGAATCATCAGGACTCAAGGCAAAGTTGTCCCTTGGTTTAATAACAATAGGAACCATCCATGGTTTATCTTGCGGATCCTCAACGTAGAATGCTTGCAATACTTGACATGACAATTTTTTTTTAATATCATCAATCTGATATTTGCCTATCGAGTGCCCTAATTTCATCAATCTGATATTTGCTTGAAATCAATTTTATTAGAATTTCAAATCAATGAAAAAAAATTAGGGCATCAAAGTTATCTTTTTGTGGTTGTTGATTGAGAGTTAGGTAGAGACGAGGAAAGTAAGGCTAGCTACAGATCAACGAGGCCGTAGGGAGAAGGGAGGTGGCGGCGCCGCCGTATAGAGCTTGCCGGATGTTGGGCGGAGAGTTGGGCAGAGAGTTGCGGTGAACGGCGGACGAGCAAGACGGATCGGAGGGGGATTGAAAAGGGCCGACGGCGGCGGCGGACGTGGAGGTGGAGGCGCCGGCGGAGGGGGTGGCACCGGCAGATGGCAGACGGAGGGGGAGGCGCCGACGGAGAGATTGAAAGAGAGAAAGAAACGGGTTAGAGAAAATTGGGGAAATCGAATTAGGGTTTGTACTCTAATTAAATTATTTGCGACGATTTATAACAAATCGTAGCGAACTCAACTTTAACGAATCTCTTAGCGACGTTTTTCACCTTTTTCGTCGCACACAACAAAATTAAAAAATAGCTTTGCGACGTTTATTTTTTTTCCAATAATTATTTTGGCGACGATTAATACACTATAGTCGCAAATAATAATTATAATTTTTTAAACAAATTTTTTTACTAGCAACGTTTAGTACACTTTCGTCGCGACGAATAAACATTATTTAATATTTCCACTTTAGTACGCTACGTTTTTACAAATTTGTCGCAAACCCAATAAAATATTTTTTTTTTGACAATTGCCCTAGCGACGTATACGTCATATTCATCGCGAATGTAAAAAAATAAATTGCAAAAAGAAAAATTTGTGCGTCGTTTATATAAATACGTCGTTAAGAGAGGACTTTTTTTTCTCCGTTTGCGACGTTTTGTGGAATATAGTCGCCAATTGGCGACGATTCATATTATCGTCGCGAGATTTCCACCGAAATCTTGTTTTTCGACAGTTGGCGACGTTTTTTTAATATAATTCGTCGCAAGGTTGCGATTATATCTAAATCGTCGTCAAAAAAAACGTCGCCAGTGAGCTGTTTTGGCCTAATGATAAGAGAGACATTAGATAGATATCTTTTACATTTTAAGTTGCATATATACATTTTGCAAATTGGAAACACACAACAAAATAAATAAAAAATAAAATAAAATAGTTCAGAGAGGAAATATAATTTTATAATTTTTTATTAACATTTGAGTCTTTTTTGTTTCTTATGATTGAAATCTTGAACATTTGACTAAGATTGACTATTTTATCCGTCAAAGCAAACTTAATGCTCAAATCCAAAAAAATCATCTCAATGCAGATCTAATTATTTCTACTTTCTTAAATAAATAAAAATAAATAAAAGACAGTGGTGGGATCATTCAAGCCAATCAATTCACCTTATCTTGATTATTAATAAATACATTGACCTGTCAATTTCGTCACAAACAACTTGGATAATTAGATGCTACACTTGGTTGTTTACATTTAGTTGATTTTAACGGTAGATCTGATTAAATAATAGATAATTACATATACTCATGTATATGTGTGCTTAGTAAATTTTTATTTAATGAAATCTACAATTAAAATCTACTCACGATAAATAATCAGGTGCAAGTGTAACACCTAACTCCCAAACAAGTTGTGGTTATTATAAATTATATGAAAAAAAATGTGGATATTATATACTACCCAAAAATGAAAAAACACATGCTACTTATTTTTCCTTTTGCTATGACATGTGGTATTCATTATTTAAGTGGATGTAACCGAATGCCAACCCATTTTACAAAGTTAGTTGGAACAGTGTGTGATTTAATGGCCTTTTACTTCTTTTGACTTTCTAATGTGTTTTTTTATTTTATTTTTCACTCTTATTAGTATGTTTTATGTATTATGATAATGTTTGAATTGTTTTCTATCTTATTTTTATTCTCTTCGAAATGAATCCGTGTTTGTTAAGATTTAAAAAAAAAAATGACATGTGGTATCCAAAAATATTCTTTTTCTTCAAAAGTCTATATTCTCTAAACATTTGACTGCTACAATAAAAAGATTTAAATGTTATACAATTAGAAATGTCTTGACTAAAAACCAAACAATCATCACTTTAGTTTCCAAATTATTCTTCTAAAATATTTTTTTCCAACGCCTTTAACATGATTAATCCACATAAGTTAGTGTTGTGTTATGAGATTTAATTTTATAATCAGTAACTATCATCCTTCAAAAAAAAGGTGTAACCGAACTAATCAAAAGATCAACAATGAGTTGGTAGCTAATCCGATTTAGCATAAATAACTATAACCAATTATTTTCTTTAATTAATCCACTGTCCAATTTCACTCATGACTCAACTATACTTTTGTGGTAGTATACATATAACTCAAAGTGAATATTTGGGATCAAAACGACTACAATTTACTTGTATTTTGGGATAGATAGTGTGTTGAATACCTCAAAATCGGTGGAATTTCGAAATTTTCGAAAATTACATTAGTTTAGAATCTCTTGTTCCAAATTCGAATAGAGTGAAATTTCTTAAAATACTTTTCTATCTTTTTTGATATTTGGAGAAAATTGCAAGAAAATTGAAAAGAGAGTCCGACAAAAAACAATAAATAAAAACACATGTGTGAACAATAAAATGAAACATAAATTTTGTTATAAGAAAAAATGCAACGTAAAGTTTCTGATACCAATTAATATTTGCTAATGTTTTAATATACTTGACCATTCGATATCTTTCATATAAAATATAACATAAGTTATATTATGAAATTATAAAATATATCATAAAATTATATTATATTTAAAAAAAACTATAGAAATATTCGAAACTAAAATCGGGTCGGTCATCGAAATTTCCAGTAATTTTATATACCATTCCAATTAAATTCCCAATAAATTCAAAAAATCGAAACATTAGAAATCGCAATAAAAAGTATGGTTCCACATTAGAATATTTTCGAATCGATGGAATTCGAAAATTCCATTCCAATTTTCACCCCTAACCCTACATAAAACTGGTCACATGGGTGTCCATTTCAAACTTAAAAAACAGTTCATGATATTAATTGAATTGGAGACCATGTGTACATTAATCAATCCCGTATCGTTATTTTATTTTGTTCCTAGAATGGAGACCCATAATTTATAATTAGGGATAGAAAGAACACAATTGTGATTTCTGATTTTTCTTTTTCTGCTAATCTTTTTGGTTAGGAATTGTAATATAAATGAATTTATGATTTACGACACCATTTAATTTATAGAAATAAACCTGCAAATTTTACTTTCTTCTTCGAAAATTGCACTTGTGGAATATTAATATCATTATGCATTTTATGTTGCCTCTAAATCAAATTGGATTTTTTTTTCATTGTTAAAATAAAAAACTTCAAACAATCATTCCAATTTTTGAATATCTAATTTTCCATTTCCTCCCAAAAAAATTAGAACAAAATTTCTTTATTTAAATACTTTTTTCCCCAAAATTATTAATTCTGATTCGATCTGTATTGTTTTTTTCTCCTCAAAAGTTAAATACTACATGCACCTTATTATTTATATTGGATGGATTTGAACCGTAAATTTAATTATATAACTATTTAGTGAATACACTTAAACATGTGTGTGACTCGATGTAAATAACTATGTGTAATATCAAACCGGGTTTTTGGTCTCTATAAATATCTTCCATGTACAAGTTGACAAAAATAAAATAAAACATCAAAAGGGAAAAGGAAAAAAAGAAAAGAAAAGGAGAGAAAAATAGAAATGAACGGTTCATCCAATGAAGCTCCCATTCCAAGAAGGTTTGATAAATCAACCCTATTGGTCTAATCTTTTTTTATTATTAATAACTAAAATTTTATTCCAAGTCAGCAAATCGTATTTATTTTTTTTCTTTTAATCGCAGATTACAAGGCAAAGTTGCAATCATAACCGGCGGCGCGAGCGGCTTCGGGGAAGCCACGGCGCGGCTGTTCGTCCTCCACGGCGCCAAAGTGGTGATCGCCGACGTGCAAGACGACAGGGGACAATCTCTCTGCCGGGAAATCAATCTCCCCGACCAGATCTCCTACGTCCACTGCGACGTCACCAGCGACGCCGACGTCAGCGCCGCCGTCGACTTCGCCGTCTCCAAGTACGGCGGCCTGGACGTCATGTTCAACAACGCCGGCATCCCGGGGAAACTCGACTTCGCCGTCGCCGACGCCGACAACGACAACTTCAAGCGGGTCTTCGAGGTCAACGTCTACGGCGCATTCCTCGGCGCCAAGCACGCGGCGAGGGTGATGATCCCGGCGGGGAAGGGGGTGGTGCTTTTCACCTCCAGCAACGCCTCCGTCGTCGCCGGCGAGTCGCCGCACCCGTACGCGGTGTCGAAGCACGCGGTGGTGGGGATGATGAGGAACCTGTGCGTGGAGCTGGGCGAGCACGGGATCAGGGTGAACTGCATTTCTCCCGGCGCGGTGGCGACGCCGCTGCTGACGAGTTCCATGGGGGTGGACAAGGCGGTGGTGAACGATATCTTGCGCGCCGCCGCAACCTTGAAGGGGGTGGTCCCGACGGAGGATGACGTGGCGGCGGCGGCCTTGTATCTGAGCGGCGACGAGTCGAAGTTCGTGAGCGGCCTGAATCTTGTGATTGATGGAGGTTACAGCACCACTAACCAGACTTACAGTAGGGTGATCAAGAGCTTTTTCTCAATTGATAATTAATATATTTATATTTTCCACGTCAGATTTTCCTTTTCCACGTCACTTTGTATTTTTTATTTTTTTTATATTAATAAATTAATAATTATTTCCACTTAATACGAATATTTCTGAGACTTAATGTGACTGCTTCTGTTTTCTAATATGCATGCAACTAATATGCATGCTAAATTAACAACAAAAATACTAATTTAGTTATCCTATGATTAAATTATAAATAAATATATTATTTATCAATAGACATGCGTAATCAGAAGGTATGTAAACATAAAATATGATCCAAACATGAAATCACTATTTTGAAATCATGTATTTAGTTGCATATGTATCTAGGTATATAGTGATTAATCTGTATTTAATAACATTAGGCCCTATTTAGTTGACAAGATAAGATTACTCAAGATAAGATTAAATAATCTAATGAGACTCAATTATTTTATTGGAGCTTGAAATGTCCAACAAAAAAAACTCATTAAAAGGTAAGATAAGCCATGATTATATAATTTTGGCGGGTCGACCCGGCAATTTATTGAGGATACCAAACATCAAATTAAGTCCAACTATTTAGTTAATCATGGTTTATCTTGACAACCAAACGGGACCTTAGTTTATTAATTTGATTTACAGAGTATGGATGAAATACAATAGAACGTTATGTTACTAAGTACGTACACAAAAAGTCTAAATTAATTAATTTGTTACATCCAAAATTCGAAACAATGTCGATAGGGGCGAGTCGGGAGGGTGGACTCAAGCCCACCCTTAAATTACATTTTTTCCCCATATATAATACCTATATACAGGGCCGGTTTTGAGGAGAGACGAAGTAGGCGGTCGCCTAGGGCCCCCAGATTTTTACGAAAATTTAGGCCCCTCAAATTATTTTATATACACTTTATATATTACACACTTATTTTTTTTTAAATTTATTATATATAATATTTTGAAACATCAGTTCTAAAATAAATGATAAATAGATATTTTTACATATTTCTTAATCCTGGTGCCCCTAAATATTAAATTTATAATGCCTTAATTAATTATTTTTATTCCTAAAATTAGAATCAATATTCATTAGTGCATTTAAGTGTTATAAATATTTATGACGTCTGTTTGCTATAAAGATTATACGTCACGGGAGGAAGTGAACCAACAAATCATCCTGTTAATTTTGATTTTTTTTTCCATATTTAAAGTTATTTTATATTCATACTTTTCAAAAAATATTTCGGGGGCATTGTCCCCGAGCCCCCGTAATTTTTCATTTCATCATTTTTAGAAAACATTATTTGTATGTTTTTAGTATATTTAATTCCGAACACCCTTTAATAAAATTGATTTATCAAATAGGGGGCCCGTTTTAATTTGTTGTTTAAATCTCGCCTAGGGCCCCCGAATTCTCAGGAACGGCCCTGCCTATATATCTATTAAGCTCACCCAATATTTTCTAATTAGCTCACTTAAAATCCAAATTAATGCAAAAAAAGGCCCAATTATTATTAATTAGTCCATCTAAAATTCAAAATTATGCCAAAAAAACCCCTTTTTTTTCTTCTTTTTTTCCTTATTTTTTTTATTTTATTACAAAAAAGTCCTAATTTTTTTTCGGGGCCGCGCTATCCCCGTAACCCTGGATATTTAAGCCCACCCTATCATATTTCTGGACTCGCCACTAAATATCCAATTTGAGGTAGGAAATTGAAGGTTGATTCAGGTGTCGGTGTGCAATATTAACTAAACACAACTATTAATTCAAGACACCGGACAGGAATTGAGGAATCCCGAATCAGTAATGATTTTCTCTTCAAGAAAAAGAAATAATAATAAAAAAAAAAATGGCACAAAATTATTAATGCATTTTGATTTTTGAAAGAAAATGCTCTTTACGGGCTAATAAGTGCTATTTACCGTTCAAAGTAAAAAACAGTTTATCTCTCTAAACCCCTA